CCCTTCTGCTCAACCCCATGGGATTGGGTTACTTGGGTCGGACAACAATGCACCCTTGACAACCCGTCTGCATTCCCATGCTGGGTTCCTGATCAGTGTTGCACAAGGAAGCGGAAGGGCTGCAGGGACAGGAACCGTCGGGTAACCCTCGCATTTCTGTCCTTGTTTCGGTGCATCCACTGCAGAGGCGCATGATCGGTGACCAGGGTAAACTTCCGCCCGAGAAGGTAGTAGCGAAGGCTTTCCATGGCCCACTTTACTGCAAGACATTCTCTTTCTACCACGGCATAGTTTTGTTCCCTCGGCAGAAGCTTCCTGCTGAGGTACAGGATTGGGTGCTCCTCTTCTCCCACCATTTGAGACAATACAGCTCCCAGTCCTACTTCGGAGGCATCCGTCTGCAAGATAAACTCCTTCTTAAAATCAGGGGCTATGAGAACTGGATTGCCACAGAGGGCATTCTTGAGATCTTTAAAAGCTTCTTCCGTTTCCATGGTCCACTTTACAATGTCAGGACCACGTGCTCTAGTCAAGTTGGTCAGAGGGCAGGCCCTGGAGGCAAAGTTGGGGATGAACCTGCGGTAATACCCAACCAGCCCTAAGAATGCCCTGACCTGCTTTTTCCGGGTTGGTCGGGGCCAATTCTGTATTGCATCCACTTTGTTGAGCTGGGGCCTCACTACCCCCCTTCCCACAATATACCCGAGATATTTGGCCTCAGCCAGTCCAATTGTACACTTTGCGGGGTTCGCCGTAAGTCCTGCTCTTCTTAATGTCTCCAATACTGCCTCTACTTTTTCAATGTGTGTGTCCCAGTTAGGACTGTGGACCACAACATCGTCCAAATAGGCAGCTGCGTACTTGGCATGAGGCCGCAACAGCTTGTCCATGAGCCTTTGAAACGTTGCAGGAGCCCCATGCAAACCAAAAGGGAGGACCGTGTATTGAAAGAGACCCTCCGGAGTTGAAAAGGCTGTCTTTTCTTTGGCCCCTGGTGCTAAGGGGATCTGCCAGTAACCCTTGGTCAAATCGAGGGTGGACAGAAATCGGGCCTTGCCCAGTTGGTCAATGAGTTCATCCACCCTTGGCATGGGATAGGCATCAAATTTGGATACTTCGTTTAATTTTCGAAAGTCATTGCAAAAGCGCCGGCTTCCATCTGGCTTGGGCACCATAACAATAGGGCTAGACCACTGGCTATGGGACTCTTCAATGACTCCGAGCTTCAGCATTTTCTCCACTTCAGCTTGGACCTCTTTTCGTTTTGCCTCAGGTATCCGGTATGGCTTAACGTGCACCTTCACCCCGGGGTCTGTGATGATGTCATGGTAAACCTCCGTAGTTCTACCCGGTTCTGTCGAAAACACATCCTGATTCTGCTCAATCAAGTCGGCTGCTTCGGCCTGTTTGTCCGGGGTCAGTTCGGGAGATATTCCCACCTGCCTTGATGGATTTTCCCCTTGGGGTGGTGGCCCCAGCACAACCAAGGCCACTTCTCTGTCTCGCCAGAGTTTCAGCAGGTTGACATGATATACCTGCTCAGGCTTTCGCCAGCCAGACTGGCGAACCTTATAGTTTACCTCTCCCACTGCTTCTATTATTTCATATGGCCCCTGCAATTGGGCTAGGAGCTTACTCTCCACCATCGGCACTAGCACCATCACCCGGTCTCCCACCTGGAACTTCCGGGCAGTTGCTCGCCGGTTGTAATAGACCTGTTGGGCTTCCTGTGCCTTTTCTAGGTGCTCCCACACTATGGGGGTGACTCTGGCTATCCTGTCCCTCACATGATACTGTGCCTTTTCTAGGTGCTCCCGCACTATGGGGGTGACTCTGGCTATCCTGTCCCTCATTTGGAGCACATGATCAACTACATTTCTCCCCAGGTTGGGCTGTTCCTCCCAGGCTTCCTTAGCAAGGTCTAGTATGCCCCGTGGGTTACGCCCATACAAAAGTTCAAACGGGGAGAAGCCAGTCGACGCTTGGGGAACCTCCCTTACTGCGAACATGAGGTAGGGTAGTAGCATATCCCAATCTTTGCCATCCCGGCTTACCACTTTCTTGAGCATACTTTTTAGTGTCCTGTTAAACCGTTCAACTAGACCATCGGTTTGAGGATGGTATACCGAGGTCCGCAGGGCCCGTATGCGGAGCAAGGTACACAAGTCTTTCATAAGCTTGGACACAAAGGGGGTCCCTTGGTCCGTTAGGATTTCTTTAGGAATCCCTACCCTAGAAAAGATTTGAATTAGTTCCTTAGCGATGGTCTTGGATAGGGTGTTGCGTAGGGGCACTGCCTCTGGGTATCGAGTAGCATAGTCCACTACAACTAGTATGCTCTGATGGCCCCGGGCAGACTTCTCTAGTGGGCCAACTATGTCCATAGCGATCCGTTCAAAGGGGATTTCAATTATTGGTAGGGGTACTAACGGGGCCCTCAGGTGTGGTCGGGGCCCATGTAGTTGGCACTCCGGGCAGGAAGCACAATACCTCTGGACTTCCACATAGAGCCCAGGCCAAAAGAACCTCCGAAGAATGAGGTCCAGGGTCTTATCCACCCCTAGATGTCCTCCAAATAGATGACTGTGTGCCAATTCCAGTACTGCCCTCTGGTGCTTCCTTAGTGTTCCACCTCTTGGCCCTGTAGATGAACTACCCAATATAGAAGATCCCCCTTGATTATATAGAAGGGCCCCGTGCCCTTGTTCCTCCCCTCCACTGGGACCCCATTAACTTCAACCACCTCCTTATGGATATTCTGATATATTGGATCATTGGCTTGATCCTGCCCAAAGGTCTCCTTTGGAGATTTCACCTGCTCAGGTTCCAGGGAACCTAGCCCCATTTCCTCCCTTGATGAGCTGGGTCCTGTTTCAGGCTCATCCTGTCCCGGAGCTTCTGCTCTAGTAGTTGGGTAGGCCTCCCCTTCTACCCATGTCTGTTTCCGACCTTGGGTCCCCAATTTCTTTGCGGCCCTCCTCTCCCGTCGGGTTTTCCGGGGCTCCCCAGGCACCGAGAACAGGTCCTGGGAGAACTCATGGAAGGCTGGGAGGGAGCTATCCTCCTCCTCCCAGTCCCGTGGTAGTAGGTCACTAAACCTGGGGAAGTCTCGCCCAATGACCACCGGGTAGGGGAGCCTTGGGACCACCCCCACGGTTACCTCTGTAACCCGCCCTTGTACTTCTATTTCCACAGGGATGGTGGGGTAATAACTAGTATCCCCATGTACACAAGATACTCCAGTGTACTTGGCTCGAGTCAGCTGATTTTGCCCCACTAGCTTCCCTGAGACCAATGTAACCGCACTCCCGGAATCTACTAAGGCAGTGGTTTCTACCCCATTCATTTTCACGGGCTGGGTATACTGATGAGGGCCCACTGCTACCCCTACGAGGTTAACTAGAACACTTTGTAGGTTCCCCAGGTCACATTGCATAGGTTCGTCTATGTTAGGGTACTGAACCGCAATATGCCCTATCTCCCCACAGGCATAACACCTATACCCTGGGCGGGATGCTACTGCTGGGAAAGGTGGCCCCTGTGACTGCTTCTGAGGGGGCGGACCTGCACACGGGGATCAGGGTGCATCAGGGCAGGCAGCATGGCGAGGTGGGCAGAAGGGGCAGGAGCAGGAGGGGGCAGGGGCAGTTCTAGGGGAGGGATGGCGGGTGCATGGGGCAAGGCCATGCCATAGTGAATGGCATGGCCATTGTGCGCGGTGAGTGTTGATATGGCATCCACCATGCGCAGGCACTGGGCCTGAAAGGAGCCCCAGGCCTCCTGGTGCCACTGCAGGTCTGCCTCCTCACGCTGCATGATGGCTGCCTTGATGCGTTCGACGGCCTGCAGGTGGCGCCGAAGGAGCTGGTTTTGGTGCCAGACCCGCCACCTTGGTGGTTGGGTGGCAGGGAGTGCTGCTACTGCTGCTGCCGCCTCAGGGCTGGAGGGTCCCCGGCTTGTGCTTGGTCCTGCTGCAGGGAAGAGAAGAAAGGATGGGTCAGTCAGGCAGCCCAGCCACTGTCCCCACCCCTCATGTACTCCACCCCTGAGCCCAGGTGACACCACAGTAGTGTGGCTTGGGCCCACTAGGTTACTCTCCTCCCCCCGTGTTGTATGTTTGCATACAGGATCGCCCATGGAGTAGGGTCCTCCTCCATGTATTGTAAGCACAGGTCTGTGTCCTGGCCTTCTGGGCTTCCCCACTCAGAAAAGGGGCTAAAATGCTGGCCCACTGAGCTTGAGGCCAGGCCTCCCGCAAAGCTGTCCTTTTGAAGGCCAAGAGATAGGCCTCAACCTCATCGTCTTTTGCCATTTTCTGTAAGTAGAAATTGGCCCACAAGGATCGAGCCCCATCTTGATCACGTACCTGGACTGTCAGGGCTTTCAGCTGGGTCACCACCTCCTGCAGGGTGGCCCTGTCCTGGGCTACTTGGCTCATCAACAGCTGGTTGGTTTCTTGTTGGAGCCGCACCGACTCCTGCTGGGCAGCTGCTTGCACCCGAGTAGCCTCTTGTTGAGCTGCCGTGGCCTGCACCAGTGCTTTTACCAGGTCCTCCATGGGTACTTTGCTTTGCGAGGGGCCAACTTAGCTAGATTTGGGTTGCTGTGAGGCCTCACAGCCGCGATCCCACTCCTGGCACCACGTGTGGCAAGGTCCCCTGTTCCCCAAGCCTCTACTGGGGATTTGCAGCAGGTCTCAGTGGTAGGGAGCCCAACCCAGGGGCCCACAGGTTCCCTCCTTTGCTGCCTTTACCTAATGCTGGTCCAACTTGTTCTCTCCGTTTCTTCCTCTCTGCCTCTCCACCACCTTCCTTTCGTCCTCTCACTCTTCCCCCCAGCCTCCAACTGCTGAGGCTTTTAAAGGCCCTCAGAGAGACAGCAGAGAAGTCAGCTGGCCCCAATTTGCCTGAGCCAGCTCCCTCTCAGCTTCACCTAATTGTGCTGCAGTTCTCTGCTTTTCTAACAGGAGTTTTTCCCTTTTGGGCTGCCTTTTCCCCTCGCTGCAGCAGCTCCCTGGCCTGACCCTGTCACAATGGCAGCAGTGAAAAAAGCTAACAATGTCAGGAATCATTAAGAAAGGGATAGAGAATAAGGTAGCATGTATCATATGGCCTGTATATAAATCCATAGTACAACCATATCTTTAATACTGCATGCCCCATCTAAAAAAAAAGATATATTGGAATTGGAAAAAGTTCAGAGGGGAAACACAAGTTATTAAGAGCATAGAACAGTTTTCATATGGGGAGATACTAATAAGACAGACTTTCATTTTGGGAAAAGGGGGGATATGAAATCATGACTGGTTTGGAGAAAGCAAATAAGGAAATATTATTTACTCTTTCTAATAGCAAAAGATCTAGAGGTCACCAAAAGAAATTAATAGGCAGCATGTTTAAAAGAAAAAATATATTTCTTTGCACAACACACAGTCAACATAAGTATTTACTAGAGGATGTTGTGAAGGCCAAGAATTTAACAAAGAACTAGATAAATTCATGGAGGGTAGATCCATCCATGGCTATTATCCAGGATAGGCAAGGATGGTGTCCCTGCCATGTTTGCCAGAAGCTAGGGGTAGGTGACAGGGAATGGATGGCTTTATGATTGACTGCTCTGTCCATTCCCTCTTGGAACCTGACATTGGCTACTGTCGGAGGACAGGATACTGGGCCAGATGGACCTTTGGTCTAACCCTGTGTGGACATTCTTATGTTCTAATGCAATATAAAACCAGAAAATAAATCCAATGGAAATTGTCGTGCTGTATGTACCATCATGATATTTTAAAGAATACAGCTAGTGGAGACCTGAGATTGCATTCTATAAAGTGAAGCAAACCACTTCTCTTAGAGAGCCAATGTTCAGTGATACAGTATAAACAAAAAAAAGAAATTATGTTGTTCTCTAGCTACAAATCAGACTCTGGCATATCTGGCATATCTGCCATTAGATAGCCAATACCATAGCGTCCATTGGGAGCAGTATCCAGAGCAGGGGATCCAGTCTGTTTCCGGTATATATTTTTACCAAAATTTGGAGATGGAACCTCACTTGGAATCTTCCCATGAATCAGACTTGCATCATCTCCCTCTAGATTAACAGGCTCTTTTATTATCCGTCCTCTTTTGTAGGATACAGCTGCCAAGCTACCAGAGCTATCATCAATAAGGTTGCAGCGGCGGATTATGAAGACTATAGGGACAGGAAGTATGGCCAATATCATCAGAGATATACAGACAGTCATTCCCCATGCTGGATAGCTCAGGAACTCCTCAGTAGCCTATATGGGCCAAGAGAAACACAGTTAATACATTGTTATGTAGTAAGAGACAAAGCTTGTAAACCTAACCCAAATAAAACTCCTGTTGAGATCACTCATTAACTTCTCCCAAATTATGATTCGCAGTTAATGCCAGATTTGGTGCTGATACATGAGATGACAATAGCACTAAGAGTAGTGCTAATGGTGCATAAAACCTAGAAAACTGAATAGTACCAAATCTTCTCTGAAAAACAATATTGAGAGATTTCCAAGAAACCAACCTCTTTTTATCACTAAACTGGACAATCATAGAGTGTTCTATAAAGTAGCTGTTCATCAATCTGCTGTACCAACGTCCAAGGGAAGTGACCATAAAATGCCTAATCTGGATATTTGGTTCTATGACAGATGATAAACCAAGTGCTAAAACAACTGAGTCTTGCTCTGTGCTGCCATGCTGTATTCTGCTTTAATTCAAACAAACAAATAAACAAACAAACAAACACCTTTATACCTCACCCTCCACCCTCTTTCTCCATCAGACAACCCAACAAATCAGCACTGACACAAAGGATAAAAGGGAGGTATCAGCCAATGACTGCTTTAAAAAAAATGAAAGAACTGCTATATTAAAGATAGTATTTTATAGTAATATTACTAGAAACAAAAGAGCCATGTTCACATTTGTAATGAAATGTATGAATTACAAAGTGTCCTCTTGTGAGCCAGCAAAAGTACTTTAAACATGTTACATTTTTCTGGCAATAGTATATATTATTACATACCTTTTCTTCAATCCAAGCGTTGTAACCAGGAGGACTTAATCCCATTTGGACAATACTAGCGATCAGCAAAAATAACAATACTACAGGGGAAACATACTTCCACATGTAGTAATAATATCGGTTTGGAGAAAAACCAAGCATATCCTTTAGGTCCTCCATAAATCTGCAGGGAAATGGACATTATTAATTCAGAAACTGAGGTTTCAATGTCTGCAGTTGAGACATGTCAGCTAATTTGCAACAATCTGCACACTAACAAAGGGGGTAGACATAGAAATGTCTGAACTTAGACCAATTGTACAGATTTACAAATAATACCTTTATTAATAGTGGATTGTACCAACTCAGATCAAGTTCACTCAGGGTACATCTACACAACAACATTATTTCGAAATAACTTAGTCCGCATCTATACAGCAGGGAGTTATTCTGAAATGATGTCTAAATACTGTCAAGCTGGAGGACTTCTTACTCCGACTTATTGTATGAGGAGTAAGAGAAGTTGGAAATGCTGTGTAGACGCTCCCAATTTTGAAATAAGCTACACAATTGACATAGCTCAATTTGCGTAACTTATTTCGAGTTAAGCCCTGCTGTGTAGATGCACCCATACACTGCTAGAAAACTTAGATTTGAATTGTGATGAGGTCTTCCTAGTCCCTAAATCAGGGTGGGGAATCTCTGGCACACCAACCACACACAATTTGTCAGGGTTAGCCTCTGGCAGGCCCCAAGAGATTTGTTTAGGTACAGCCACTCATAGCTCCCAGTGGCCATAGTTCACCATTCCTGGCCAATGGGAGCTGTGGGAAGCAGAGGCCTGGCCCTCACCACTTTCCATAACTCCCATTGACTAGGAACTGCAAACAGCTGCCACTAGAAGCTGTGGGGCACCATGACTGCAGATGCTCAGATAAACAAACCATCTGGCAGCAGCTAACCCTGACAATCTGTGTGCAGCCTGCGGGCTGGAGGTTCTAACCACTTCCCTAAATGGTGTTAGGCCAATGTTTAGTTTCTGGGCTGTTACAAATATAGATTAGATGACCATAAGATAAGAAATATTTTTTGAATGTTGATGAAGCATTCTGAAAATCCATAGTGTTCAGTTCAGAAAGATTTAACACTGGTGTGCAGATACAATGCATTGGAAAAAACACACAGTTATAAGTTTTCCCAACCCATTCCTTCAGCTGTCTATTAGTTCAAAGAACCTACCTCAAACCAGTATACATGAAAAAAGAAATATTACTCTCCACCTAACTCAAAAGCTACTGCCATGTTTTATATTGCACTGTGTTATCTATTTAGGCATGTGTCATTGTTTTTGAATTCACAAACAAGAAGGACAAAAGGACAAAATAGCTTTTACAAACCAGTTGTAAATGTAAGTGTGCTATATATTAGAATAAATTACATTATGAACAAGCAACCATTTTGCACCATATCAATTGTTGAATGACTATGTGAGGTCTTGACTCAGCCTCTATGTCTTGGAATTGCAACATATGTTTAGAACAAAGCCTAGTGTTCTAGGGCTGACTGAAGAAAGAGTACACCTGCTCCAGTGCCAGCAGAAAATGGGAATGTTAACTTAGAACTGGTTTGCTTTCTTTTAGATTTTGTCATCAAATTCTAATAGCATCTTAACTCTTTTGCTGTTTCATTTCCCTTTTTGAAAATTACTGAAACAAAATGTTTCCACTATAATTTACATTATGAAATGTCCCGTGCAAAGTTATTATGACATAAAAGCTCATCTAATTCCTGGAAACATACCACTGAGAACATATTTTATTGTGGGCAAAGGACAGAGATAGGCACATAGTTAAAACCAATGAAAATAACTGATTTTGCAAATGGCTTTGGCCTTTGATATATAGCTCCCTCTTCTCTACCACAGCAAACGTAGGTAACTTGTTTCCACTTTTAAGATTTTTTGTGACCTAACCCCGCTATACTTATCATTTCTCATATATCATTAAGATGTCATCTCCTGTCACCCACTTGTTACATTTTCAAACAGTTCTTTACTTTCTCCTATGCTTCCCATCCTGTTTGTCAAGGGCCCTCCATAAACATCCACAAGATCATCTCCCTCAAACTCTCCTTGGTTGTGATGCTCACAAAAAAACATAAGGATTAGGTGGTGTGTTGAGGCCATTGCCTATTAAGCTGATCAATATTGTCTCAAGTTGCCTTGTGTTCCCCTGTCTGTCTGTATCCTCTTGTTGATTCTTTTCTTACGTCTGGAGTTTCGAACTCCCAGCCCGTGGGCCAGTCCCAGCTGGAGCATTTGTGCAATCCAGCCTGGAACTTCTGCCTGTCTATAACTGGACCTCCCAAACCCCACCCTTTCCTGTCATTGCCCTACCCTCTACCCTCCCATGTCACCCCCTTCTCCAAGCACAAAGCTTTGGGGATCACTGGGGGGGGCTAATTCTGCACAGAGGCTGTACCCCCCTTGGTTACTCATTAAGGCAGGAACCACAGGAGAAGTGGAGTGCACAGGGTGAATACATTCACTCTACTGCACTCTATTTCCCCTGCCTTGAGTAAACCTGATCAGTGACCTGATCAGTGACACCGCGTGGTTCCAGGCACCCCTGGTGGCCCTCACAGCTGAGTGCTAAAGGAACAGTTGTGGGGGAGGGTGGCGATGGCAGGAATGGCTGGAGCTTGGAGTCTGAGGCCGGAATGTGCAGTCACTTCAGCTGGCACTGGCCCACAGGCTGGGAGTTTGAGACCCCTGACTTGGATTATCAGTGCTATGGGGCAGGCATAGACTTTTTGTTCTTTTAATCCAGCACCTAGCACAATGTGATCCTTACTTCTGACTGAGGCTCCTATATCGAATAAAAAACAGACCAGATAAATATTGTCAGTGGCAGTTTGAGTGCTCCTGACTCAAGCGATCTCTGTAAATAATTCTGGGTTCCTTATTAAAGTTAGTGTGGAGAAATATATCCCATCAGTGATGTACAGAGTTTAGCAATGAGTTCAAAGATCAAGTCTGAATGCTGGACTACAGTACCTGCCGTGACTCACAAGCACTTTCAGCTGAACCATCAGGATACCACATAGAACAACTGACAAAGTCATACCTAGGACCAGGAGTGGGCAACAAGTGGCCCTCAGGCCATATGCGGTTTGCCATATGTCTCCTGTCATATTGCCAGAGCTGAAATATGCTCAGATAAGCTCAAGCAGCACTGTCCTTTAATTAAAGGGAAGGGAGCCGGAGGAAGTCCATTCTCCATAAGGGATCCTCAGTGCTGGAATCCTGGATTCCTTGGTCTGAAGTTAGTCAGCTGACACTGAGAGCACTCTGCAAGCCATATGTGTTAGCTGGGAGTGTTGCAGATTAAAGGCTTTGATGGAACAGGGATTTTGTTGGAAAGGTTGTTGGTTGTTCTGGGAATAGTTGCTGATTGATTATTTTGTTCTTGTAATTTGCCAGAAGCACCCTTTCAAAGCTTGAGAAAACTGAATCTGAGGGACAGAATCTTGCACTGTAACAAAAAATCAATACATTGAACTTCCACAGCCCCTAGCCTATATGTATGTTCTTTCAGGGGCATCCATTCCCATGTGGTTTTGGCTAGTGAATATACATAGTTGCAGTTAGATAAAAACCCACCTACATCTGCTTGGAAGGTACCATCTTGAGCCACTGCTCTGAACTGCATAGGGAGTAGCAGACTTTCTGGCCTGTCCACCTCCATTCACAGCAGATCTACTAATTCGGGGGGGTTGTGAATGAGCACATGGAGGGAACATGATCGAGCCCTAAGACAACTTCTCAAGTGCAACCTAAACTTGATTCTTTGGAACCTTTGTTCTTCCTCGTCTTTGCAATTTAAAGAAATACTGCACTGTATTTTCATCTCTGTACATTTTCAACTATAGAATTATGTCTGTACCAAAAATGGGAATTTGTCCTTATTGAGCAAGTAGATCAAGCAATATTTATACAGTCTTGGAATAACTTCTGAAAACCATAAAACAAAGCTGCTTATCATAGTCTAGTGCTGGGGACTGGTTGATGATTAAGAATCAAGAGATAAGAACTCAAAGGAAACATTCAATTTATGCCACTGCTTATTCACAGAGCACAGAGATCAAATGATGAACATATTTCAGTATCTCACTACAATGGATTGGTTTGAATTGTTCTATCTGATTTGGATTACAAATTCCTTGTGACTGGGACCATTTCATCCTTTATATTTGTACAAGATCAAGCACATTGATCTCAATACACAATGATAACTTTTGTCAGGTGATCTAGTAAACAGCTGAAAAAAATACAAATTAATCATCTTTCCTCCTAAATCCTGCCTTTCCCTTCACTGACAACTCTACCATCAAGCTTGCAGACTTAGTGTAAGTTTTGATCCCCTTGCCATCTTTTTCTGACTCTTCACTGATGCTAACAAATTCTACCACATGTTTCTCTGCATTTCTCCCTTCCTTCCTTCTTTTCCTTCCCCACCATCTAAATCATTCAAAGATTCGAAGGACAGAAGGGAACGTGCTGATCATCTGCTCTGACCTCTTGTATCACACAGATCATAGAACTTCCCCACAATAAGGCTGTGTCTAGATTGCACCCCTTTTCCGTAAAAGGGATGCAAATTAGACACAGCACAATTGCAAATGAAGCGGGGATTTCAATCTTCTCCGCTTCATTTGCATAAACATGGCTGTCGCTTTTTTCCAGCTCGGGGCTTTGCCGGCAAAAAGTGCCAGTCTAGACGGGGATCTTTCGGAAAATAAAGCCTTTTCCGAAAGATCCCTTATTCCTGATTTTAAGAGGAATTCCTTGCATCCATAAGTATAAGGCACTATACTGTTTTCCAATACTTTCATCATTCTCATGGCTATTATCAGAACCTTCTCCAGTTTATCAACCTCCTTCTTGAACTGTGGACACCAGAACTGGACACAGTCTTCCAGCAGCACTTGCACCAGTGCCAAATTCAGAGATAAAAATAATCCCTATACTTCTACTTGATATTCCCCGATTTATGCATCCAAGGGCTACATTAACCCTTTTACCATAGCACAGTGACAGCTTATCTACCACAAACCCCAAATCTTTTTCTATCTCTCAGGATAAAGACCCCCATCCTGTAAATAGGGCCTATATCTTATGTTCCTAGATATATCCCTTTACATTTACCTGTGTTGTAATGCATGGCACTTGCTTGAGACCTGCTTACCAAATGATCCAGATCACTCTGTATGACAGTGACCTCTTCATCACTTACACTGCCCCAATTTTGGTGTCATCTGCAAACTTTATCAGTGATGACTTTAAGTTTTTTTCCCAGGGCCTGATTATTTCTCATCTCAGCTACCACAATCTATCCTTGCCAACTATTCTGAGTATGTTCAGCTCCTCTTGAAATCCTTCCACTAGCTTCCCCCTGCTGTCTAGATCACATTTATACTTCTCTTCCTTTATTTAAAGACCTTTCTCATCCTTCCCATCTTTATGACCTTGTCTCTTTTCATTGACTTACTCCCTTCTGTTGCACTAGGCTAATAAACTCTTGGTGTCCCTTTACTATTCATGCTTGCAGGCCTTCTTCCATGCTGCCTCCATAGATTTAGAACCCCCCTCCTATCCTGATCCAATATATTCTCCAAATCCACCCTTAAAAATGCATTTCACTCAGGAGTGCTACAAACACAGGCTCATCCACCCTGGTACACATAACCTACCAAAAATAATGTGCCTACATACAAGAAAAAAAATCCCAAACTGAAGACTTAATTTCACCCTTCTATCCCTTCTCTGTTTTTGTATGCTGTCTAGATCATTTGTAAGATCTTTGGGGAAGGGATCTGTCTTTATATCATCAAGTGAGCTGTTGATCCTATACAACTAACACAATAACAAGGATTACAATGAATAGCATCAACATATTAACAATCACATGAAAAAGCAACACCATCATTTTCTGAACTTACTTGTCTATCCCATAAATTCGAGAAATGGCAACATTCTCCAAAATGACCACAATAAGTAGAGGCAGAGTAGCAGAGTAATCATCAAACATTGTGACAAAATAATTTCCAGAGCGCTGCACAAAGATCAGGCCAATTAAAAATGCTACCAGGCAGCAGATGACTGGAACAAAGGACAGAAATGAGAATTGTAACCACAATCATGCATCAGAGAAAAGGAGGAAGAAAGAAAGAGTTATGAAGTATCAAATAATAATTACTCTTTTGCTTTATTTTAGATTGACACTAGTTTTCTCTTTTTCCCTTCCTACCATTGCACTTGCCCAGTAAAGCCACAAAGCAATTTTACCCATTCCCTAGCCAGCAGACAATAGTTAAAATTAAAAGTGATTACTAGATCGTAAGGCAGCCCTGATTCACCTATGTAAATTCTTTGCTGAATCAAGAACTATTCATCATTAGACACTTAAAGTGAATGGAAGAGAAAAATCCAGGAAAACAGTACACTTAACAATATCCTGCAAATTGGTCCTTAGTTCTCTCCCTCTTTCCATCAACTAAAGTTAACTGTGTCACAATTTTGTACTAGAATTTTCAAAACAAATAGCTATATGGGTTTAGTAGGTAGAATCATTCACTGCCACTGCTATCTACATTTACTTTCTTTCAGGCTAGACTACAGGGGTTTTCTGGGATACTAGAGGTATCTCAAAAAAGCTCTGCCGCGTCCAGGGAACACGTCTACTCTTCCACTTTTTTTTCTGCCCCGTATAGACAGGCCACATTTTGGAAAATCCTTCTTCTGACAAAACTATTAGAAAAAGATACACAAATTGTGGAGTGCAATTTGCATACCTTTTTCCAACAAAGCACTGTATTCTAGATGTAGCCTCAGAGTAACAGCATTAAAACCTCTTCTTCTTCTAAAGGCCAGCTGGAAATCTCTATCCGAAAGTCACTGAAATTCAATGAGGAAAATCAATGGGATTTCTGCCATTGGGTTTAATAGCAGCATGACTTGGCCCCATAATTATAATAAATTGAGATAAATTCTGGAAGAATTTGAAGTTGGTTTTATTCCAAACAGAGAAGACTTGTAGGATTGGCCACAAAATGTAATATAATCTGTAAGAAACACTGGCTATTCTCTAGCTAACATATGTATTGACTTAAGTACAGTAAGGGAAGAGAACAACAATTTTGTAAATATGATCATATAAAATATACTCTTTTTATCATGTAGCCACTGTTGTTTGCTTTATTAATGTCCTTTGGGGGGAAAATTGAATTAAAGCATTTCAGAAGAAACCTCTATTAAATTAAAAAATCAGGACCCTCAGAGCCCAAAACAAACTGACAAAAGCAAGGAAAGTTGGAACCTTCAGAAGTGCTCAGCCTAACTGTTCCCACTAACGTCAATAGGAATTATACTAGAGATTTCGGTAAAACACATTTAGACCCATACTGTGTGATTTTGAAAATTTCACCCTCAGATTTTAGATTATTTCTGAACTGTTAATGTTCCTCATTGTGCCTCAATATTGTATATAGCCAAAGTATACAAAAATCTATATAAAGACACAGCTAAGAGCACTAATGTAGCTCAACACATACATCCCATGCCCAAAGCACTTAAGCATGTTATTGTCTCAATGAAGGCAATGGACATTTTGAAAATACTTGTGTATTTTGCTGAATTGGGCTCATAATGTTATAAGTTACAAATGCAGGAACGCTTTAATCAAAATTGAAGATTTGTGGGAATCCATGACTCCTTAGCCAAAAATTCTCCTGCTGTTTTTTATGTTGTGCAACTCCCAACTGGCACTGCATGGCACTCAATCGTGAGTACAATTTGGAGACTGGAGATGAATTCTGAAAACATTACACTAAATTGTAATACTGTGACTCCAACTGATTTAAATGGAATCATGCAGTAAAATCAACGCACAACACTCAGAAGCAGTGTTAGATGTTAAAATGCCATGGAACTTTATTTCATTTTTTATTATTTAAATTCCTAAAGCATAACCAAAGTTTATTGCAAAGTGATAAAACTGTATTGCCTGTTTACAAGGCATTCATATACACTCAGAACAAGCAGATAGTTTTCAAATTATAGTAATGTTACATGAGTTCTTTTATAGTTTTAAAAAAGCAAAGGAATTTGAGGGCTGTTTTTCAGAAGTGGTAAGCATTTCTACTCAAGGGCTCAGTACTCAAGAATATAATGAAATTAGTATTTTTTATTATAAGGCCCTGATCCAGCAAATAACTGAAGCACATGTTTGTTAACTAACTCCTCCAAAACCACATTTTTAAAGGTATTCAGGCACCTAAGATTAGACAGATGCTTAGTGGGATTTTCAAAATTGCATCGGACCCCATTGGAGCCTAGTGTATTGCTGGCCAGGCCTAACTTTCAGCAAAAATATATTCTTTTATGAACGGTGGGTACAGAGATGCTATCTTCCTTGTAAATATTTGACACAGTCCATTTCTAGTAGTAGGCTACCAGATTGAATAGGCAATATGTCTGGTCCTCTGTGACAGTCCTTTGAACTTTCTGAACTTCAAATTTCATCTCACTGTTAATTTCTTTACCTCTTTTTTCCCTCTATCCAAAGAAAAGATTAGTAAAAGGTGATTAAAAATGCACCATTAATCTCCACAAGCCACAATTAAGACTACATGTGAAACTTTATACCTCTTTTTTCCCTCTATCCAAAGAAGATTAGTAAAAGGTGATTAAAAACGCACCATTAATCTCCACAAGCCACTATTAAGACTACATGTGAAACTTTCATTCCTCCTTACGCATTTAGCATCTTATATTTATTTTTTCATTCCTTTTTATTTACATCATTGTCATACATGCCTAGGCTTGAACAATGAACATTTTGGCAGACTTAAGTATGACTGACTCTAAAGGGGTCCACAATAAAAACTGTTATACAACTTGAATTATAATGATTGCTACCACTTCCACTATCTGGACATTAGGACTTTAACAACTTCTTAACTCTTAGGGTAGGTAAGCATGGGAATAAATTGCCTAGGAAGGTTGTGGAATCTCCATCATTGGAGATTTTTAAGAGCAGGTTAGATAAACATCTCTCAGGGATGATTTAGATGATGTTGGTCCTGCCATGTAGTTGATGACCTCTTGAGGTTCCTACCAGATCTATAATTCTATGAAAAGACATATGTCTATGGCGGGGAGGTAGAGAATACAAACTGGACTGAAGTTAAATAACACTATGCTATATTTTGCGCTGCAACTTCTCATGCTAATAAAAACATCAAATACTCTTTATTCTTCTCCAAAGCTGTTTCTGTCTCTAAGGAGGAGATGTATTTTATTAGGCTAATGAGAAATGAAAACTCACCTGTAAGAATTTCTTTCCTCACTTTGAAGGTGTCAACAATGGGTGTGATGATTCCTTCAATGGTTCCAAACATACTTCCAAGTCCCAGATTTACCAGCATGAGGAAGAACATCACTGACCAGAAAGGAGAAGCAGGGAAGTGGGTCATTGCTTCTGTAAAGGCAATAAAAGCTAAGCCGGTGCCTTGAACAGCCTGTCAATATGAAATCCACATGAGATGATTAATGGAGATTTTGAGCAAACTGTGAGTTGCAGTAACAGTGGAACAATATTTATTTACATATTCTTGTAAGCATAGGTACACAAATTCTGCCTCCCACTAATAATAATGAATGTTCAGAACTTCTGAAAATTAGGATCAGCTTTTCTTGACCATAGCATACAAGTAGCTCAATTCAGAGACATTCATTTAGGGGCCTGGTCCAAAAATACCTAATTGGAGCTTTAGATCATGCCAGTGTATTCACAAATGAGGCTGTTCAGAAGACAAAACCACTTGCACATGCTGGCTGTGTCTACACTGGCACCCTTTTCCGTAAAAGGGATGCTAATGAGACACTTCGGAATTGCAAATGCTGCGGGGGATTTAAATATAAACGCCGCGGGAGATATTAAAATCCCCTGCGGCATTTGCAATTCCGAAGTGTCTCATTAGCATCCCTTTTACGGAAAAGGGTGGCAGTGTAGACACAGCCATATAGTATTGCATTCTTTATATTTCACAGTAAGATCTGGCTAATAAAATACTCAGTCATTCAAAACCTTTGCACTGGAGACTCAAACATCATTCTAACCTTATTAAGTTCATCTTCAATCTGACAAGATTTCAGGCCAAGAGCAGGAAATTCTTCTTCTTTAACTTTTTTAATGATGTCATACACTAAATTGTAATCATTTGCTGTAATGCTTGAGAAATTGATATGATGGGGTATCATGTCCTGGCTTAGATTGCCTATTTTCAAAAGTTTTAAAATCATCTCCGAATTTCTGTAAAACACAATGGAATAGCGATTATAAATTAGAGGGCATCTTGTGTGAATCTGTAAGTGAAATATACCATAAAAAATGAAGAGAAATGAATATTTCATACTCAGTAATGCATTTCTCATTTATCATATTTGCTTTGAAGCCCAGAACAGCAAACACCACCAAGGTTGCCAGCACAGAAGTGAAAAAATTGATGAAAGACACCAGAACAGCATCGAAATGGCAGTTGTTGTCTCTCTTGTTGTAGCTTGAAAAGGCAATGACTCCACCAAATCCAAGCCCTAAGGCAAAGAACACCTGAGTAGCAGCTTCTCTCCAGACCTTTGGCTCCAGCATTATTTCAATCTGTTTGAAATTAGACACAATATACGTCAGCTACAAAATATAGTTTTTGTATGGCTAGACAATATATAATTGTGGAAGATAACTTTTAACAATTAAAATTCTAAAGCTGACGAGTTAATATCATTATTAAAATGGCAATTATTTTATCTTTGTACCTTGGTATTGGGAGGCCACATTGTAGCACATTTCCAGTTTAACTATAGATCAATTGATTTGAATTGCAACTGTTATTTGGGGGAAGAGGGTACATTTAAAAAAAAACTAAAAAAAAGTATATATTGAAGATTGTTTGAAAAGAAAAAATTAATTAAATGGAGATGTGTGTATAAACAAGATTTCTGTTAATGGACTTAAATTTTAGTCTGTGCAGTAAAGTAAGATTCAATAGGCAAAGTAAACTCCGGCCGGTATAACCAATGCTACTATCTATGGGTCAGAGTCTATTTTCAAATATACATATAATCCTCCAGCTGACTTAAATGGATCACATATCTGTAGGGATGTCCCTGCGCTGAAAATTGATTGTAAATTCCATTTCCATTCCTTCTTCAGCCAATCCAATTTCAAGGAATGCCTTAGTGAAACTAGATAATTTATAATCCATTATCCATTACCAGTTTATCTTGGATCTACACAATTAGTACATCATAACAGAATAACAACACTAACAAATACTTTTATGTTGTTTTTCTTCCATAGACTTCAAAGGTCAGAAATTGTCTGACATATTAGATTAATCCAGTGAGATCAAATAGAACCATACCTTTATAAATATGTTATGAAATTACATATAATATTAACAGTTAGATATGATTTTGATAACATAACACTAATGAAATTTAAATATAAAGTATACGCAAATAAATGTATCAAAATAATTACATCAATGTATTATTTTCCCTTATTTTAAGTAAAAATATGCCTCAAGTTACTATAATAAAATATTAGAAGAGTTTCCAACTTCCTGCAAAAGCTGAAAGAAAACATATGTAAACTGTGTAGGAGCTGTTTTCATAAATCTAATTCTGGTCCTGGAAGTCCTGATAAATGTATCTTTGGAATGTAAGTGGAAAATATATACATACATATTTCTACAGATACACTGTAGTATAATTACAAATGGTACAAACAGATATACTCTACTGATACTTTTTTTTTTATCACACATGCATTTCTAATGCTTGCTCACTAGATGGAGCTAAATAAACAATCTTAATTCCCACCAGCATTTCAGAACACTTTTTCACATTGTTAATAAATTTCATTTCATTTTTTGTGCAATATAAAGAAACATTTCTCCACATAGTGTGGTATTTCTACTTTAGTAATTGACATCTATGGGCTTTGACTCAGGCCTGTATACATTTCGCTATCTACTACAGGTTGAACCTCTGTGATTCAAGACTCTCTGGTCCAGAAAAATCCATTGTCTGGAAACATCACAGATGTTACTGGACTAGAGAGCCCAGTGACAAAGGTTGCTGGTGGCTCAGACCAGAGCCTGCTGGCAGGGACTGAGGGGCACCAGAGCCTGCGGGGTACCAGAACCTGCAGCTTGTGGGGCAGAGAAGCTTGGGGGAGTTGAAGCCCACAGTTAGCTGAGCCACCTTAGCTCCGGTGGGCTGGTGGAGCTGCCCTGAGACCGGGAGAGCTGCTGGGAGTTCCAACAGGGTTGACACAGCTGGCAGGACCAGAAAGCTGAGCAGCAGAGGGTGGAGAGAGGAGCCCTGTGAGGAGGCTGGTGCCCCCCTCTCAGGCCTCCCCTGGTCTGGCAAACTCCCTCGTCTGGGACTGGTCAGGCCTGGAGAGTGCTGGACCAGGGAGGTCTAACCTGTATCTACATCAAGCCAGCGTTTAAGTACTATTCTTCTGGTTATACACACTGCAAACAACATTATTATCACAATCACTTGATAGTAATGAAAAAAAGATTTTGACACACATATCTGGAGAACAATAGAATGTACTAAGAATACAATTTTTCTTTAAACATTTCCTTATTTGAACAGCTGAAACTCTTTTATTACTAAATTCTTTTAATTGAAAATCTTTAGAATTTTAAACAAAATATTATGGCTGTTTCTACACTGGGCCACTTATTCCAGAAAAGCAGCCGCTTTTCCGGAATAACTTGCCAGCTGTCTACACTGGCCGCTTTGATTTTCA